GGATAAACATAATCAAATAGAGAATGAATACCTCATTTTAAAATATAAAAAATCTAAAATATAATTAGAATAATTATCGAGTTCCAACAAAATAAATAACTATTATCTTTATAAAAAATTATATCGATATATTTTTGTCAAATATCGATATATTTTTGTCAAATTTTTATGATATCGTCAAACATATATTTTATTCAAAAATAAAAACATTATCGTTTTCTCAAAATCACATAAAGCCATATTATAACATCGACTGAGATAAAGAATAAAATGAAATATTAAAAACATGATGCATCTCGCTGCATTGCGCGAGTACGCTTCTAGTTTTTAGTAAAAGGGTTGTTATTCATATCCTCAAACAGATACCATTATGCTCGTTTATTAGCATGTTAATAAGACTTCTAAATTTTTGGAGCCCAATTTTACTTGTGTTTAGGGCCTGAGTTTTTTCGACTTATCAAGCTATGAATACACCTCAATTAAAACACGTCTAGTTTCTTTCAAAATCAAAAGCAGCTATTTAATTTCAAAATTTGCTGATCAAAAACAAAACTCTTTGATATTATTCTCATTGTTTCATTTTAAACATTTTTGTTGTTGTTTTGATGTGTAAGATTTTTAATATGACATGAACTTGTATATTACTTGTTTTAGATGATCTATAGTTTTAGTACGGATGTAACAGGATCTCCAAAAAGATTGGAACGACCTTGGATGTCACTCATATTTTATGTCTGTTTCTCACTCATATCACTTACATTTCATATCCCCTTTTCATTCACATACCGCACATATAAGAAAGGTATGAGTAGAATTGGTTTTTTATAATAACATAAATCCAATTCTATTCATACATCATCCCATGTGAGTGAAAAAGCGTATGAAATATAAGTGGTGTGAGTGAAGAATGAGTATAAATGTAAATTAGTGATATGTAAATAAGGGGCGAGTATAAAATATGAATGTCATATGACTGAAAAAGATATGTAAAATATAACAAGTGATTAAACAATATGAAATACGAGTGGTAGAGACACATACCTTACTCCATGTTTATTAACTTTATGTTAGCGGATGTTTGGGATTACTTATTTGAAACAACTTATGTTTTTTTACAAAAGTACTTATCAACTTACTATAAGTAAGAAGTGTTTAATTTCTTCAAAAACTTTTTATTACCGGTTTGGCACTAGTATAAGTTGTTTATCCAAACACTCAAAAATGTTTATTACTGGTGTCACACCAGAATAAGTCAACAAATTATTTTTATAAGCAATCCCAAACACCCCCCTTAGATTATGAAAGAAGCTAAATTGCACTCCTCTACAGGGTTGAGTTCACGTGAGATCAAAAGTTTTTCGTGAGACCCGTAAGACCAATTTATGTTCATTGATCAACTTTATAAGGTAATGATCTAATGGTCTAAAGTTGTAAGGTGACAATTTTATAATTATTGAGAAGTCTCTTTGTATTTATAAATGTTCAGATCTGACGATTGTAAATCTAATCCAAGGGTTGAGAATTGGTCTTACGAGTCTCACGAAAAATCATTGGTCTCACATGATCCCAACTCATCTACATTGGTAAATGTACCTTTACTTAATGACTTTTTTATACACTAATATTAAAACTTATTTTTTATATTTTGATTTATGAACCAACTGAATTTGACATTAAAAATAAGAATTCCATAATAATAATAAGAAAGGAATCTTTCTTGGAAATGAGTAATTAAAGAATTTAAAAGTGAATTGAGTTGGAGTTGTTTTCAATTTTAGCAAAAGTAGTTTCCATGTGAAAAACCTTTCTCTTTCTCTTTTTCTTTTATTTTAAATAATTATTTATTCCTTCTCTAAACTAATAAACCATGCTTTATGATTCATTATAAATAAATAAACATTTCTTTTAACAACAAAAACTTAATAATTATTATAAGGTATTTGACCTCATAATTATACGTATATATAAACTAAATTCTATCAAAATAAACCAATTTCATCTGTGTTTTTATGTTGAAAAAACCGACTTTAACTTTTTTAACAAGTTAGTGCCTGATTGGTTTAAGATTGGACTTCAAAATGTCAAAAGTATCTGGAGGTCTCAGGTTCAAATCAAATAAGAAATAAAAATCTCTTTGTGATCGCGAAGATTCAAATGCAATCCTACGAAATAAATAATCGTCTTAAAATTAGTCGACTTGCATAGTGAGTTGAATATTCAAGTTAATTAAAAAAAGTATTCATATTTTAAGTATATAAATGACAATCAAGCCCATTAAATAAGAAATGGAGAAATGATAATATATAATTAAATTACGTAAACGCGGAGTAAAAAGTATATTTTAACATGTTATAGTATAAGGAGTCTTGTTGTAGGACCCTTGACCATGTATATACAAGAGTCAACATACAAACAAATCGTGTATATATATATATATATATATATATGAATACTTAGTCTTCATCTAGAACCTTCACTACGTATCTACCTCTAATCTTTATTTAATTTGCCATCCACATTCCTTTTCTTTTAATTAAATCAAATATACATAAATCATATATCTTATAAGCCTTACCAACAAAACTAAAATCATCTTAATAATTTCATTAAGAGATGAATCTTGTTTGGTAAAAATTGTTTGTTTCTTAATGATTTTGTATCATGGGCCTCTCTTAAACATCAGACGCCACAATTTCATTGTAAACAATTATCAAACGATTATATTTCATTTTGTATTATATTATGAGAACATCTTAATCATTTTGCACCAAACCATTTAATAACTGTCAAACAACCATTAAAATTCATGGCAAAAAGGCTTAACTAAAATGCCATAGAAAACTAAAGAATTTCAATGAATAGAAATTTCGACGATCCAAACAAAGAAATATTTAAAGTTTGATTTTTACCATAAGATTTTGTGCACATTTAGAGTGTTTTTATTTAGTTCTTGTAATAAAATCTGGAACCACGTGTCAGTAAATGTGTCGATACTTCATTTTTTTCTTCCCATTGCACTTAAATGTTGACTTTCATCCTCCTAAGTCTTAATGTATGGGATCAAAATTCTCTCATTTCCAAAATCATTTAATATTTATACTTTCTACACTTTCAAAAAGCTTACATAAATTCTCAAGATTACAAGAATCAAAATTTTATTTTTATAATACTTTATATGTATATAATAAAGTTGAGTTCTGATAAGAAATGTAAGAATGGATCTCTATCATTGAATCAATTTTAATTTAAGATCAACACTAATATTATGTACCGAAATGCACCAGATTAGATCTCATGATAAGTGCAATTCGTGGGATTGGGTCCAGACCATTTCTTACATTTCTCACATTTACTCATTTTATCCTTTGCCATATATAATATTTAACTTTTTGACAAAACATTTCGTAAGATGGGGAAGCACTAGAGATACATAAGGCTCGGGTTTTTCGAACAGACACCCATACCTTTGAAGCCTGAATTTATAAAACAAAAGAAAGTCTCAAAAAAACTCCACCTTAATTTTTTCTAACCCAAGGTTTTATTTTACATATTTCTGGTGTGGCACCGACGATAAACATTTTCGAGTGTTTGGATAAACAACTTATACAGGTGCTAAACCGGCAATCAAAAGTTTTTGAAGAAGTTAAATTATTCTAACTTATAATAAGTTGATAAGAACTTTTAAAGAAAAACATAAGTTGTTTCAAAAAAGCTATCTCAAACATCCCTAAGGCTATGTTTGATACATGGGACGAGACAGGACAAGACGAGACGGGACAAAACTCATTGTCCCATGTTTGGCATAACATGGGACAGAACAAGAACTCACTGTCCCATGTTTGGTGCGACATGGAACAGGGACAAGAGCAGGGACAAGGTGAGACAACATGAAACAAAAGAGGTTTTTTCTTGTTCCACCAAAATAGGTGGAACAAGATGGGACAAGAATGAGAAAGAAACCAAAATATTACTAACCTATCTTAGTTTGATATATAATCTTAATATGATATTTGTTTTAATGGTCATCATCGCTAGTTTGGCCGCCGCCACCACTACCGGCGGTCACCTCCACCTCCTCTTCCACTACAACAACATCCTCCACCACCTCCACAACCATCATCCACCAAGTCCATTGCCACCTCTACCATAGTCGACCACCGACCACCACCGTCCATTGCCACACCACTACTGCCGTTCACCACCTTCAACTCCTCCTCTACTGCAACAACCTCCTCCACGACCACCATTGGCCACCACCATTCATTGCCACCTCACCTCCACCATAACAACCACCACCACTATCTTCACTACATCAACAACAACTACCTCCTCCACCGTTGTCAACCTCCACCATCACCACAATCTGCCATCTTCATAACTTCTATAACCACCGTCGTCCACCAAGCACCACTGCCTCTACCTCCATAACCACTGTCAGCCATCGACAACCATCGCCTGTTGCCACTACTACAGTCGGCCACCACCACCTCCACCATAACCAAAACCACCTCTACCACCACTACTACTATCAATTATATCAATTTTTTCATTCAAATTTGGTACAAATATGAAAATTATATATAAATATTTATTCTTTAATTATATACTTTATTTGTGTTATTTATAACTATTATATCATATAAAAAATATCAAATTTTTTGGGGGGGGTAACTTGTCTAATTCTGACATGTCCAGTCCTAGTCGTACCAAACACCAGACATATTCTTATTATGTTCAGTCGTATCTCGTCCAGTCCAGTCCAGTTTAATCCTATCCTTTTATTTTATCATGTCCTATCCAATTATGTTTACGTACCAAACATTAGGAGATGGAGAAGGAGAGCGTTCCCACTTTGACTATAAATAAAAAATAATTAAGAAGGAAGGCCTAAGACTCAGACCAAAACTAGACCTCCCAACGGTAAACCCCATTCCGCGTTTCCTACATTTAATTTACGATTTCGTTCTTCCCCCAATTTCTTCTTTTTTATTTATATGCTGCTTTCCCCTTTTTAAGTTTATTACACACCTTCTCCTTCTTTCTTCCTCCCTACTCCCTACCAATCTACCATGGATGTCGAGAAGAAAGATGAACAACCTCTCCGATCGCCTCACCTCCCCCACGATCAATCTCGGAAGCGTAAACGTCGGAGATGCATCATCATCTGTTCCTCAGTAATCGCCGTTATACTCGTTATTGCTCTAATCCTGCTCATTTTAGCTCTCACCGTCTTCAAAGCCAAGAAGCCCGTGTTGACTGTTAATTCCGTAGAGCTTCAGGATTTTGGTGTCTCTGTGAATCCGATTCCAATTCAAGTTTCCTTGAATATGTCTCTGGCACTCGATATTTCAATTGAGAACCCTAACAAGGTCGGTGTTAAGTATCGGAGCAGCTCAGCCATTCTCCGGTACAAAGGCAAAGACGTAGGCGAGGTTCCTATTCCGGCCGGTGAGATTGGATCCGATACTACTAAGCAAATGAATCTGACGCTAACTGTATTCGCTGATCGGTTACTTTCCGATTCAAATATCTACGGGGATTTCCTGAGTGGTAACTTGCCTTTTACTACTTATACTAAGATAAAGGGTAAAGTTCGTGTTCTTTTCGTTCATATTCACGTCTCTTCTACGTCAACTTGTGATGTGAATATCGATATTCAAAGTAGAAGCATTGCAAATCAAACCTGCCAGTACAAGAACAAGATATAGATAGTAGGTGAAGGAAGATTCATTTGATTAGCCAGCTACGGATACTCGTATATCTATTTTTTGCCATACTTTCTTATTGTTCATAATTAACTTACATATTTGATATGAAATAAAACTATTGCTGTTATTGCTACTTTTTTTTTAAAGGAGAAAAGGAAAAAGAGGTTGGTATTGTGTTCTATCCCGTGTATTATGAATTGAATACTTCACCAACATTACATCATGCATCTTGTATTGTAATGTAGTAGTAGATTTGATGGTTCATTTTTCATGTATTTTTGTGATTCTATTTGTTGAATGAAGCTTCACTTGGTTCCATTAATGGAGTAGAGTTTGGTGGTATAGAGTTAGAAATGCCATGGCTTTATGAATCTGAAAGCACATTCCAGTTGGCTTGGAGCTTGAGAATAGTGTATTGACTTCCATCCATTGGTTCTAAATAACTCGTTATTGCGGCAAGGCTTGGGTTCGCAGTCACGTTAACCCTTGTGGCTCCGCTCTGAGGTATGACTAACATTATAACACGTTATGATGCATTTTTGATGTGTTACAATGCATTTCAATGTGTTATTATATACAAGCTTAAACTTAAATAATAAACATAAAAAGAGAAAACAACTAAATGATTAAATAGGTAAAATACTTGCTCTCATTCCTATACACAGAGTTGAACTTGAATTCTTTGAAAATTGAAGAAAAGTAGTGAGATGAGATTCAAAAGAATTAATCCGGAATTTTGCACCATTGATATCCGTTTTTATCGACTCTATATATTTGGTATCAATGACTATTCTTTATTTTTTAGTTTTTTTATTTTATCTGAATTTAATTTCTTCTGTGTGTGTGTATTGCCGCGTTAAGGAACGCCTTAAAAAACATGTGGCCTCGTTGCAATTCGTAAGGCTTGAGGGGCTGAGGCTTCCCCAGTCATGCCACATCTCAGGTCATTTCATATCAATCAAGTGCAGAAAATGTGAATTGAGTTCCAGGAGGCTGAGGGACTTGCATAATCTTCCATATTTTCCTTCAATTGGTCTATGCCTCCTCTTAAGATATATATATACACACACACATTATCATGCGCGCACACACAAACGACAACATACACAAACATTTGTAGCAATCACAATGGGGAATTACAACACACACAAAGAAAGAAAGGACTGAAACATTAAGATTGTTGGATATAAAATCATAAAACACACAAGTTGTGAAATCACCAAGCTGATGACATCTTTCAATCTTTAACAGCTAGCAACAAGATGATGATGATGATCATGTTTCAGAACTGAGATTTGTCGAGGGTATCAAAATAGGGATGATCCATAGCAGCCTTCGCCGATATCCTGTCAGCTGGATCATATTGCAGCATTTTCTACACACCAACACAACAAACAACAATTATCATCATCATCATTATTATCATGATTAACTCAAATCCAAAGACAAATACTGACCGATAGAAGGTCTACACCATCAGGTCCCAAAGATGGAACAGCCCGTGCCAAATTCTGAGCTTCCCACCTGGGATACACATGCCAGTCCCTTAGAGAACTCACGCCCGGCCACTGCTCTTCCGTTGGCGTCCCAAGCAACCTACAAACCCCACATCGTGTCATACATAGATGATACTAATCAATTCATTCATGTGAAATTAATTGTACACACCTGAATATATGAAGCAGTTGTTGGAACTCTGAATCACCAGGAAACAAAGCTTGTCTTCTTGCCATTTCAGCTGATGTGCAGAATTACATAAATTACTACATCTAACTAAGACTACAACTAAGAAATTTGATTGCAAGTAAAACTAGTTTCGTACCGAAAATACAGCCAACAGACCACATGTCAACACCAGTCGAGTAATGAGTTGATCCCAACAGTACCTCTGGGGCTCTATACCAAAGAGTAACAATCTGCACATATCACATGAATCGATTATCAGATTCCAAGATCAACGAAACAGAATCCCTTTATTGAAGAATAATAAAAATTAAAAGGCACCTCGTGAGTATAACTCTTGAGAGGAACAGTAAAAGCCCTTCCAAGACCAAGATCTGCAATCTTCAGAATTCCCTTTTCTTTGTCAACCAGCAAGTTTTGTGGCTTCAGATCTCTGTAAAACGGTTATTACTAATTAAATCAAGTGTTCATACAAACAAAACCCTAGGTTATCACGTACAAATAAAACCCTAGACGATGGTAAGGAAATTAAAATAACCTGTGAAGAACACCATGACCGTGGCAGTGGGCAACACCCTTACACAACTGAAAAAGGAAGCTCTGGATCTGAGAAGGAGGAAGGGGGGAAGGGTTAGGTCCCTTGCGATGGGAATCGATGAACTTCTTCAGATCGGTGTCCAGATACTCAAAAACAAGGTAGAGGAGAGGCTTGCCGTTGTGATGGATGTGTTCAACGGTGATAAGGCGGACGATGTAGATGGAATTTGAAAGCATCTGAAGGAGGGAGATCTCACGGAGGGCGGTCGGTGGAATTCCTTCCTCATCCATCTCAAGACGAGTTTTCTTCAGAGCCACCAGTTGGCCTGTCTGTATATCTTTCGCTTTGTACACTTTACCGTAAGTACCTTCACCTACTTTCTCCAATTTCTCGTATTTGTCTTCCATGGCGGATTGCAGAAGATGATGGAGATGGAGAGGAAGGAGAGGGAGATATATGTTTTGAAATTGAAATCACAACGGCAGTCAAAAGCTTTCTTCCCTCTCTCGCTCAATTCGAATTGTTTTCGTTTATGGGCTGGGCCTTCTGACCCAAACCAAAACAAATTATCAAAAGAATACCCTATTTATAATTATAATGGTAATATGGTATATTCATATATTGTTAGGTGGCCCAAACCACAACAAATTACTAAATGACCGTTTACCAAATACTTACTCGGTAAATGCTCATCGGTAAAATTTAATACTACTATTTACTTACCGAATAAGATTTTAGTCCACCAAAACGACATTGCATGTAACGATTTACCCGGTAAGTGCTTACTATGGTAAGAGTCGTCGCCCTCACTTACTGGGTAAGACTCTTGGTCCTTGTCTTGCTCTTACCGGGTAAGATTCTTGGTCCTTGTCTCGTTCTTACCGGGTAAGATTCTTGGTCCTTACCATATTCATCCAGTGAGGTAATGTAATTTGGTAAACGCTTACCCGGATAAGCGTTTGGTAAACAGCCCCTAAAAGCCAATTTTTAATACTACTTTTGTACTATTTATATAACTATTTTAATTTATCTTAAGATGAGTGTCTATTTTCAAAAGTAAATGCTTTTTTTTTTCAATTTTACTCTTAATTATGAGAATGCATCTATAACTAAAGGTAAAATTGTCTTTTTCTTAATTAAAAAATGTTAAAATTGTATGTCGTTTTCACTATGCACATTTATTTTGGACTGATGGAGTAGTATACTTGTATGTTCAAAACAAGCTATATATGTCATTGAACGAACATGTTCAACAGCATAATAAGACCCTTAAATATGCAAAAAAGTTTATTCTAGATTCTACAATGCCTCGTAAAATGTTGATCACGAGTGAGTGCATATCTACTTATTATTGGATGAAATACTTGCTAACAGAACGAATCTCATCCCATCTTTCTTTTTCTTTTGCCATACTATCTAGCCATATATTCAACAAAAAGACATTTCAAAAGTCAATTTTTTTATGGGCTGTATTTTTTCTAGATCATTTTTGCTTTTGGTGAAACTAATGCGGTATTTAGGTTTTGCAAGACAAAGTGTCAGATTCGTGGGCCTGGCGGCCTGCTTTAGGTCTGTAGTATTGTTTATTTTCTATGAAAAGATGTACGTCGTCCCGCAAAACCCTAAAATTTATGATTGAATTTTGAGATTTTAGATACGGTGGTAAACATTCAAAACACTTGGTGTATGACCATTTTCACCGCAACTAGAGCAAATCCTCTAATAAGATCGGTCTATATTCAAGCAAATGGCTAACAGATTAAAACAAATTTATCAATCCATAACACATATGTTTGGTTGATTTCATTATGTATTGGTTTGGTTCTTGTAACACACTCAAATTTGCAAACGACGACTAATTTAAAAATTCTATTAATACCACAAATAAAGGGTAAATCCTTTTTCTATTAGTCAATACATGAATTACCTAGGATATCAAATCAAAAATCAACATCAATAAATGATAAACCGAGCTTTAGATAAAGATTAAGTTAAGGTCGGTGTTACTATAACCCAATAACTGTCATTATCTTCAATTGCGGAATACATCAACAAATAGCTAGTACCATTTCTTACGAACCTGATGCACATGTCGACAAAGAAAATGTTAGATTTAATGCCTACTGAGCTCAAACAGTTTTCATAAAAAAAAAATACAACTGTAAAACCTAAAGACTGATTTCATAAATGAAGTGTGTTTATCATAAAAGCAACATCTTTGTGAAACACACTATTTCCCTGATGAAAAACCCGTTAATCAAAATACCCCATTTATATGCAACCAATAACCGATACTCACAAAACCAAGAATAAAGTTATATAACATTAAAACAATAATCATAGCTTTAAGCATGTCTTATAAACAGTTTAACTCTCGCTTACCCTTGTAAGGGCATAACACATCTAAAGATGTAGGGAGAGACCCGATTTACCATTTATTGTGACGGAACACATAACTAAGCCACAAATAATTGTTATATAAGCATCACTTATGGATAAACAAACATTGACATCAACCTTATCCGAGTCTCTAGTCAAATGTGTTAACAAGCTTAACCTTATACAAATCTTTTGCTTGGGGAGTCACCAAGTTCAACTCTATCCAAGTCTTTACCTTGCGATCTCCCAAATCCATGTTAAGCTCATTCACTAGAAAATGGTAGTCACTATGGACTACACGGTCATCAAATTCAACTCTATCCAAGTCTTTACCTTGACACCCCCACTACGGATCACACGGTCATCGAGTTCAACTCAATCCAAGTCTTGACCTCGAGCCCTTCGCTGATCCGAGTCTCTAGCTACAATACAGGGAATACTATCACATTCCAACCGACTCCTATGCCAATTGATCTATTGTATTACAATCTATAACTACAAGACACAAATGAATGACTAACACAATCAAAACGTGTAATATCAAATAAATATGCCATAACCGCATATAATTCCAAAGGCCCCAACATAGAGAAAATTAAGTCGGACGAATATCCTCGAGACTCATTTAAGTCAAAACCGAGCCAAATGCTCAACAAATCCATTGACTATAAAATAAAAGTCATCAAAGGGAATAAAACGTATTAACTCAACGATTATGCAAATACCTGTTCTAAAAGTATGATTAACTACCACAAAGGTGGTGCCTGATTGGTTTGAGCTTGGCTCCAAAGGTCAAAAGTATCAGGAGGTCACATGTTCAATTCCAAGGAGGAATAAAAATCCCCTTGTGGCCACAGATGTTCAAATGCGGTGACTCCGGGTGATCTACAAAGCAGGTGGTTACCCTGGGATTAGTCGGCACGCATAGCGGGTTGGATATCCAGGTTAATAGAAAAAAGTATGATTAACTCAAAGACCCATAATTGGTTGAGACAAACCATTTTTCAAATGAAATCATATTCTTATTTTTCTATAATGCCTCATAAAATGAAAACATGCATTTTCCAAATGGTTTATAAAACCAATACACCAAAATGCATTTATATCAAATAATTTTCATTGGTACAAGAAATCATCTAAAGAACACATTCTTGAGATATATATATATATATATATATATATATATATATATATATATATCTGAACATTCATAAACGCCACGAGACTTCTCAATAATTACAAAATTGCCACCGTGCAACTTTAGACCATTAGATCATTAGCTTATAAAGTTGATCAATGAACATAAATTGGTCTTACGGGTCTCATGAAAAGTCATTGGTCTCACGTGAACCCAACCCTATGTGTGTGTATATATATATATATATACACAGAGAGAGAGAGAGAGAGTTTGGTTCAAATGTTAACCAAGATTATTGTGTTAACTTTGTTAACCAAGCTCAACCAATGAATATCTATCTTTTATTTAGGTTCACATACATATCATATGTTAATGACAAGAGTAATTAAGTAATTTTACCATTTTGTGTAACTTCTATATCATTAATTGGGAGTTACAAAATCTAAAAATCCCATAATTGATGATGATTTAATATTGATCTTGTTTTTCAATTTGTGATTGTTTTTGAAATTTGATTTATCTATCTATAATGTTATTGAATTTGTGATTGTTAAATAATTCCCGATAGTAAAGTTTTCGATATCGTCCAAGCTAATATGGATAAACCCATTGGAAAACAGATCGACAACAATGAGAATGAGAATGTTAAAATGGTTTACGATGACAGTCGGACTTCGAGTTTCGGAAGTGAAGACAATGATCAAAGCGTTTGTATTGGTAATGGATTAATATGATATTACATTCATTTTAATCGACAGTTCTCACCTTTGACAGTTCTCACTTATCTTGCAAAAAAGGTGACTGCATTTGACCTGTTGAACAACTTCTGTATATTCAGGAGCTGGCTCTGTTGAGAGATTCAATCAGTTTATAGGTAGACATATGAAGTTAACACACAATTTGCATTAGATGTTCATATGAAGATATAGGGACACGAACAGACATATGAAGACATATGAACACATCAAAAATCACACAGCCTTAGATGCCGTGATTCATAAGTGTTCATGTATATTCAAGTCACTAGATGTTCATATGAATACATATACACACACATACACACACAGAACATGTGAAGACATGTGAGCATGTATGAAAACACACAGCCCTAGATGCCTTGGTTCATAGGTGTTCATGTACATACAACAGAGTTGACTCCTGAATATACAGAAGATATTCATACGGTTCATATGTTGTTCATATGTCTAATCTTTTTTGTTTGATGTGATTTGAGGATATACACAAGCTGTTCATATGGTTTACATTATGCATTTCTTTCTCTCTTGTTAGTCCTGATGAGTGGTGCATAAGAACTGGTTTAGTGGCCCCCTTATATATGAAGCACTTAATGGTTGAGGTTGGTGTCACCTTCACCCATTGCTTGACAATAGCTGCAGTTATATGTGTAGCAGTAAATGTCTGCTATAAACATTGTCTAGAAACGATATTTTCTGCATTGGCTAAGAATTGGTCTGGATATCAAGTTGTTGTTTTGCCTTTTAAGTATTTATCACTGGCCTGAGTGTTCAAATTTTGATCGTAGTAGACACAATGGTTCTTATATATCGATATCTCTTCATATGGTTCTAACTAATTAACTTGTCTGTAAAACAAAGCATATCCTCAAACAAAGTGAAAAGTACCTTACCTAGTGAAGATATCTCCAGAGGCATGAAAATATTCTACATTATCTGCATTAATCCAATTAGGGCCCATCATAAATGCTCTATTAGCTGCATATTTGGCCTTCCATCCATTGGCAGGTGTTATAACATTTTGTATCATTGTAAGATCCTGGAATGACAAATCAAGAATTCAAATGGTCAGCTGCAGACATTTTTTTTTTTTGCAAAATAGGTGAGAACTGTTAAAGAACAATCTAATGAAGTAGTCCTGATCAATTTAGAACATTTTCAAGTTTTGCACAAACAACATGTCCCATATTTGGCTGAGCTCAAAGAACCACATTCCATCTACACAACATCAGAAAGATTATAACATAATGAAAATTCAAAAAAGATAGCTTATACCAGCAAACAACACATGAATTATTATCTTGGGACTCAAATTTCTTAAACTAGGTTTGAAAGGAAGATAGTTCCTTATGTCATTGACCTCACGACGACAGCTGTTCATATTGTCTTCAGTTGTAAACTAGTTGCATCTCTCAACAGAGTCTGCTCCTGAATATACACAATCTGCTCATATGCTTCACATGATGTTCATATGTGAATTTCTTTTTGGTTTGATTTGGTTTGAATATACACACGTTGTTCATATGGTTTACATGCTGCATTTATTTTCTACCTTGTTAGACCTGATGAGTGGTTCATAAGAAATGGTAGAGTGGCCCCCTTATATATGAAGCACTTAATGGTTGCGGTTGGTGTCACCTTCCTCTGTCGATTGACCATAGCTGCAGTTATATGTGTAGAAGTAAATCTATTGTATAAACATTGTCTCCATACGAAATTTGCTGCATTGGCTAAGAATTGGGCTGGATATCAAATTGTTGTTTTTCCTTTTAATTATTTATCAAATGCTTGATTCTCTGTTAATGCTTAGTTTATCCTCGTATTATGGAAGCTAATATGATATCACCTTATTGTGTAGGTTGATAACCATTTCATCGAAATGAGATTCATATATACAATGTTATGTGATAATGAAAACTCATTTCTGTTGGATAGGTTATGGGAGAGGAAACCTTGATATCAAGAAGCTGTATGTACATATCAAGATGTCTTTGTATAAATTAATGACATTTATAATTAACCCATATCATTCCCTTTTACAGTTGGTATTTCTAGATTGCATTAATCAATTGCTATTCGAGATGGCGAAGAAGATATATTATCCCATTGTTGTCAGTTTCACTTACCCACCTTGTTGTTGCAGTTGATTCCTACATTTATGTAATCTTAATGTTCATTTGGTTTACTAACTACAACTTTACCATCAGGTTTTGATAAATTCACACCTTCACAACACGAAATTGGTTACGATATAAGAGAGAGTTCAGAAGGAAGCAAGTATTTTATCCCCACTGTTGATGACGTGCTTAAACCAAAGACCAACACACAATATGCATCTATAAATGAGGCTGAAAAGATGTACAGAGCGTACGCAGACAATGCCAGGTTTGATGTTCGTATTCAGGCAAAAAAAAAAAAAAACAAACAAGAATGGGGACATACAAACTAGATGGTTTGTATGTAGTAGGGAGGGAATTCCAAATAAAAAGTACTTTGATTCTATGGATCTTCAGTCCGGCTAAAGAAGATACCGTAATACGAACCTTGATGAAGGATAGGTCTTGTTACGAGATATACGAGTTTGTTAAAACACATAACCATGCGTTATTTAATATTAACGATCATCGTTTCTCTAGGAAGAATAGATAGATGCAGTATACGGATTTCAAAACTGTACTGAATAGCTCGAGTTACAAAGTCGGTGCGAGAAGGGCTCACCGTATACAGACGACATTGAATGGTGGATTTGAGCATACTCGAATTTCTGAAATTGACTTTAAGAATTTTAAGAGGGATGCAGTTGCTTGTGTTGGGAATAAGGACGCGAAGATGTTGATTAATAAACAATTGAACAAATGTGATATTATCCCCGGTTATTTTTTCGAATACAAGTGCAATGAACAGGAGTTGAGCGCAAATTTCTGCGCAGATGAAGTGGCTAGAATTAACTACAAAGAATTCGGTGATGTCATATCGTTTGACGGGACGTTTCGTATGAACAAGTAAGCTTCCCAATTACAATCAAGCTTTTAAAGTTTATTACGCATTGGTATTTTCTGGGCATATGACGTGGCTAGAATTAGCTACAAATAATTTGTTGTTATGTGTTTCAGGCATGCAATGATTTTTGTTCCATTCTTGGTTGTTGACAATCACAAAGCTTCCGTTGTTGTTGGCTCCGCTCTAATAAGTGGCGAGACAATTGAAAACTTTACATGGGTTCTCAAAGCTTTCCTAAAATGTCATGAGAAGCAACCAATTTTCGTGATTATGGATCAATGTTCGGCAATGAAGCAAGCTATTGCATTGGTGTTTACGGAAGCCATGCACAGACTCTGTATGTGGCACATTATTAAGAAGGTGCCTTCTAAGGTAAGTAGAATTTAGTACGTGTTATTATTTTTGAAAAAGGTTAATGTTTATTGTTTGATTTTTGATATCGATATGACCGCAGGTCAGTGTCGCTCTAAATCAAGATCATGTGTTTAATAAAGTTATCAACAAGCTCGTATGGAACATACATATTGGTCCAGTGGAGTTCGAAAGACGGTGGCATGAGATGATCGATCAATACAATTTAGGTGGTGATTTGTGGTTCACAGACTTGTATGACATCCGACACTCATGGATTACTGCCTTTTATAAGGACACGTCGATGTCTGGTCTGATAAAAACAACATCAAGATCGGAAAGTTCGAATTCGTATATTAATATATACGAATCGTTTTGGTTTGATTTGGTTCAATTTCTTAATAATTACGATGTAGCTATAGAGAAACAAAGATACAAACAATCTATGCATGAAACAGTAACGAGAACCACTTATCCAAAGTTTGTTACTCCATTGTGTTTAGAAAGCCATGCATCAAGTATTTACAGTCGAAGTGTGTTTTTTGACATCCAAAAGGAAATAAAGAAGGTCGTATGGTTTTATGTTATAGAGACGGTCAAATGTCGGGATAATCTCAAGGCGTTCGTGATAAGCCACAAGACCAAGAAATCATCTGACAACATCACGTATCTGGTACTATATTCCTTACACAGAAAACAATGGTCTTCAATTTATTTCATTTTAGTTTGCTTGTGGTTGTTCGTAACGTATTCATTGTATGTGTCCCGTAATTACTCAACCAACGCGGTCGAATGTGAGTGCAACCTATTCACGGTATCTTAGGTACTAATAAATGATGAAGTTGAATGTATTCCGAATAAATAAGTTTTACGTCGATGGAAACGACACTTAGCTCCAGTCCAGATACAATCTGCAAGAGTTCGATATGGTGAGGTGGATGCCGAGAAAGATAAGTGTATAATTGATGTCTATTCCAAAGTCGACGACATAATAAGTATCTTCCGAAATGATAAATCTATATTGGCTAGATGGGAGCATAATCTTGACAAATTCATGGTTGATATAGAAAAAGAAGTTCCATATGAAGACCCATCCCAACAGAAGTTGGATGCGATCAGAGATCATCTAGGTGTTTCCATACCTGATGAGGTGGACATTCTACCACCATCTGGAATAAGGAACAAGGGTTGTGGTACTGGTAAGAGGCTGGTCAGTGTTTCTGAGAAAATGCAGACTAATAGCTAAAAAGCAAAACGAAAATGTGCAACGTGTGGACAACATAGTGGTCATGACTCACGTAATTGCCCCGAATTAATAGATTAGTTAGAATTCCAATACTTAGAAATGTTACCATTTCGGTGTAATTCATTGTCGTCAAACTTACATATGTTCATGTGTCAACTTCGGCTTAATTTTGAATACTATATGCATTTATAATTTCTTTTTTGTATCTTATCCAATTGATATATGTTGATTAAATAATTTTTATTTACCAGATAAGTACTAAAAGCACAACAATTGCGTTCTTTCTAATTACCCTTTTCGAATGGATGTGGTTTTATGCACTATGTTGTACCTTATATTTATATTATCATGTTTCTGAATTACTAGGTAGAATGAGGAACTTAAAGGTTTTGAAGTTTATTATTTGTTCTTATAGTTATTGAAAAAGTTTAACCTCGATTGAAATGATTTGCTTGATATAGCAGTTGATGCTCTTGTTTAGGCTTTCAGTGGTGTTGATACGCTATGTGCGGTTTATGATGTGTTATTGAATTATCAAGTTAGAATTTTATTGTGTATGTGATCACGTGTATTTCTGTTCTGACCCGGTGGGTTGAAGAATGAAAAGTTGACATGAACATATATAGTTTATCAACATTTCGAGATGAAAGGTTTTATATTTGAAAGTATGAATGTCATACCGAGACTATGACATAATGAAAAAGTGACACCCTATGTGTATGGTTAAAATAAAATAGGATCACATCGTTTCAAACAGGTATTGAACACATAATGACCGTATATGAACTCTAGTAGCAAGTTAGGATACTTTGTATAAAACACGTTAGAAATCACTATAAGTGAACATTCCATATATTGCAAAGTACTAGTTGCGTTCAACAGGTAAAAACAGAGCATCGCTATACATATTGGACATTACGGATTTCTGATTTGTAGCTTTTGATATCAATGTTGATGTTATTAACATAAATTTATCAGGGTGCGTTATAATTCACATCAATTTTTAAGTCAAATCTAGCCTAAATGTAGTCAAAATTCGGAATATATCTTTCTCCCTATTAGTGATATGAATAAAAGCATCTAATGAACTGATTAAATCTTAAAAAAAGTTGGAAAGCACCTTACCCAGTGAAGATATCTCCAGAGGCACGAATACATTTTACACGCTCTTCATTAAGCGAAAGAGGTCCCATCACAAATGCTCTAGTAGCTTCATAGCAGGACTTCCATCCATTAGCAGGTGTTATACCAGATTGTTTCGTTGTAAAATCCTGGAATGACAATTCAATTATTCAAAGAGTCAGCTACAAACACTCTTTTGGCAACTTTGTTGATAACTGACAAACAAAATTATAATTAGTTAGGTCTATGAAAGTTAGATCACTTTGAAGTTTTGCCCAGAGAAGGTCTAACACATTTGGATGAGCTCAAAGAACCACATTGCCCAAAAAAGATATTCCGCAGTATCTTACATATTCATGCCCAACCTGCACATCACAAGAGTTTGGCAGATAAATATTACAATCACTCCTACACTTCCAACAAAATCGAGTCCCAGGTTACCAAGATAATCTAGTGTCTCACCCTACCAAGTATGAAAAAAATGGCATTTACTCATGATAATACAAGGAATTGTCAAATAAGTATACAAAGCAGATTTTGTTACTCTGTTGAATCATGCATGCCATAAATCTTTTGTGGCAGAGATCATATGTTATATTTTGGATTATAATAAGGGTGTTAATTGGAGCTCAGATATGAAAGGATCCTGTGACAGAATACATATGGCTGCAATACCTTATGTTGTGGAATTAAGGATGTTTCACAAGGGATATGAAAATACTACCTGAATTTTTGAGTATCCAACTCGCCCCCAAACAGTTCATATAGTGTCTATGTCTGCTGTTGAGTATTGATATTGTTATTTTACTATTTGCTAGCTGTTCATATTGTTCAATTTTGTCCTTAGTGTTTTCTCCGCTCCATCGTTTGTTTGTAGTGAGTAGTTCCATGCTAGAGCAAATTTTGTAATGATTGATATGCCATATTCCATTACTACTAGCAGCTGTCCATAAGGTGTTCACTTGTTATCAATCGTATCCAGGCTCGTACCAGAGCTAAATTGTAACCCCAAATATAATCAACCTATAATGTAAAATGTTAGTGCAATGTATATGACTTCAGGGATTGGCAAGTAGTATACCAAATAATATGGTTGTTCACAATTGAAGGTAGTGAAAAACTTCTGTTTTAACCGATGTCATGATTTGAAATTAGACCCGAGTGAGATATTACCCACTAACTGGTAGTTACTGAATTAGAGAAGTCGGAATACGAGAGTTATTGTTATTCCAATTAAAAAGTCACCCTTACCGAGTTATGGGTGCATTTGGTATGCAGACAGTACAGGTCTGAATAGGATGGACGAGAGTGAGGTAGGCGGGGTGAAAGAATTATGGAGGGTTTTAAAGTTTTAACTTGACATGGCTATTTTGGTAATTTACGAAGCGTGTTCCATCTACTTGTTGTTTGTTGCGCCTGTTTTGGTGGTAAAAATGCATCTTTGTCCCACTCATTGATGTCCATCACACCAAGTGCATCGTTACTAAGAAACAACTACTACATGAGGATACATTCCACACTCAATCCTTTCGTACACTAAAGACACATACCATGTTCATAAAGTAACCTAAACCAAATCAAAACGTGCCAAGCAATTCGAAACCAAAGTAGGGCCTGTGTGACAGAGGTATACCCACCCGACCTCTACCCTAGAGAGTAGGGTGACTGTTTTCATGAAGAAACCGTGCTGGTTCAAGTCTGCGAAAGGTAGAATGGCTTGCGATCTGATATACACATATTGAAAACATGCGAACATCAGTATGTGTATAAATGTATTGCATATGTGTATAAATTTATTCCAAACTAAGATGCCAAGGAAATATTTGTTTGACGTATCTTCATATATGTATTTCGACTACAAGTTCATGTACGTTCATGTCGGGCGAATAGCTAGAATGAGAAGAAACATATATAATAGACATAAATTGGTGAAAGATATTCCATAAACGAGATTATGTTGCCTGCAAATAAAAGGAAATTTTGATTTAGAAGTTGAACCGTTAACGATATATGAAAATATAGATAAATGTAGGTGATGAGATTGGAACACAAAATGAATTAGGATAACACATACCAAGAATGCCAAAAGCAAGACCGACGTGAGCCACATTCGCAACCATATGCTGTATAATACAAACAAAAGTTTTGTTGAGGAAAATTAATGTTGCATTACTTCATCTCTTGTTAGTCCTAATTAGTGGTGCATAAGAAATAGTAGAGTGGCGACCTTAATGGTTGAGAATGAAGCAAGTATTTTATGGAACTATTTAGCTCCAGAATATGCTATATACCATATGTTCATATGTGTTCATATGGATAAAGTACAATATCTTGGTCATATGGTGTTCACGTATACAAAATTAGATACACACATAGAATCAGATCTAAATTACGAAACAACACATAGCTTCAAAATATACAGTAAAATGCATGTCTAAAAATTATGACTTCATGGATCGCAAGTAGAATAGATGGTCATATGTGTGTTCCCAAATGTTCAATATGTGTTTTTCTGTAATTCAAATAGTTGTGATATACGTTGATGGTGATGTCAGACCATACGAACAAATCAGACCATACAAACACAACTCAACACGAGTGAACAACAACACATTCAGACATATATGAAACGAAATGAACACCCATACCAGCTGCATCAACAGTCTCAATGTTGTTTTGAATGTTCTTTCAATTTGTACGTCGCATTACAGGACACGAGAGAGAAGAACGGGAAACTCGGAAAATTGAACTGATGCTGATAACGTCAGTTACTCAATTCCAGAAAAAAGCATATTATATTGAAGATTATGAATAGTATAATATTAAGATAGGTCTATTATATATATGACCAGAAAATGACAGTATATGATATGCTTAACCCAGATGGTCACGCGGACAACTGGGTCAATCATGATCACACACAGACACAAGTGAAAACAAGCAACCTTCGTGAACATGTGTGACCATATTGATGTTTACATGTCCACACAAGTGAGATGCCATGTAGAGATAAGTTTGGCGTATATAAATGCACAAACAAAGATTCATAGATGTAATAAGATATTTCATTACAAAAACAGGAGGTTAGTTCATATTTTAAATTGTGGAGCTACTATAAATAACGAAGAGGTTAAAGTTTCAAAAAACCATGAAATATCCATGTGTCAACACCAACTAAAGATGCCATCTAGACCTTTCCCCTACCTATACGTGTGGCCCTACGTTTTTTTTGCATTATACGATGTCTCCATCGAAATGAACCTTTCAACATCAGCTATGATCGACGTCTTCCGGATGTTCTCCTCACTGAGTAGCATTTTCAAGYGGTACTTAGTTCAAAGATCCTTTAATTACCTTCTGTTTCGTGCTCTCCTTATAAAGTAAGTTTCCATATGTCGCATTAACATTACACCACAATCGACCGAATTTTCACGAGATTGCCACCTCGTCTTGATCTGATCTTGATTCATTTCAGCGTACACTTTCCAAGCATCGTGCCCCTCTCTCAATAGGTGCATTATCATCATGTCTTGCTGAATAAATCATCAAATTGACAATTTAGATCTAATTCCTTGTTGTACATAAACAATATAAGGAATTGTTATGTCAACTTACCAGCACTACAGTACTAGATCCATATATATCATCAACTATGCCGTCCTGATTCTCAGAGTCTATGATTACGATGGAGGGGCGCTTCAGATTGAATACTACGATGTAAAAGAATGATGTTTCTACAATCGGGAAGAATACCTGCATTTATAAATGTGGTAACTAGTTGTTACCATTTGAATATACTTTTCATTAATGTAATGTACACTTTCTAACGAACGTAATATTCGTACCAAATCAATGTTACGCATACTAATCAGTTCCTTATCATTGTTTGTGCAGCTCGTGACGTTCTTTTTGAAACTTTCATACCTTTGATGAACATCCAAACCTTGATCTCTAATGATATGATCCATCTGCACACAAATGAATCATAAATTGTATTAAAGAATGTGGACGTTCTTTATAGATATGACATAGAAATATCTTTAGATAATATTATCGACACGTCCGTTGGTATAAAATAGCGTCTTGGAGACTCATTGCTCCGCAACCTTTCTTCTCGGTTGAGAACCGTTGCCCACCCGTCTAAAACTTCTTTGCAAACTACGGACTGAGTTGCAAGAGATTGCATTGTCTGATGTGTAAGTGTTTTTTCGTTCGGTGTCATGAAAACTGGCTCACTGCGTATTTACAATGAATATTAGAAACATCCAACACACACACAGATATAGTTCATACTATATATATATATATATTAAAAAATTGTCAATTTCAACTTACAAATTTCTTCTGATCCCTCTTAATATCCAATCTTGCAACTACCTTTCATCACTAGTTACATCGAACATAACAACACGTGTAACGTAGGGTGAACGTAACTTAAAGCTCAGTTTTGGATCTCTCTTTGCCAATGTAGGTCTCACAATCTCTTGTATAACTCCTACTATTGAATTATTTACACTAGCAATAACTTGTTTATGTGATGGACTTATTCCTAGATCAAAAGCTGGTGGCTCGATGTCTCCATAAGAATCAATGGGTCGCTCACTGTTACCTGACCGATACCTGTCAACATTTACACCCCCTCGTTTACACATCTTACTAGTCCGAGTTTCACATTGATCTAGACTCCTATTCCGTACGCTTCCAACCTTTTCTAACGGTGATTGGAATGATGGAAGCTTCACTGTTTCCCTTAGACTTTAGTTTGTAGACCCTTTCTTTTCTTTTGTTAGTTGAGTTGTTTTCTCATTAGAAGCCCTGTCAACTTCGGCAATGATCGATGGACTTGTCCAGAATTGAGATAATGACAA